TACATAGAAACAATGGATTCAGTCAGTGTGTGTGTTTCCTACAGATGGATCCAGTCTTGGGAACCCACCAGAGAGATGTCCCCTTCCTCTGTATTCACGGGATTCCACACAGGAAGGTCACATCATCCCTCATCATCAGGTAGGTAGATCCAGTCATGGGAACCCACCAGAGAGTTGTCCCCGTCCTCTGTATTCTTGGGATTCCACACAGGAAGGTCACACCATCCCTCACCATCATCAGGTAGATGAGGAACAATCACTAATAGTATCATTAGGATCTGTACACTATCTGCATTGTTACCATTGATGTCATTTTATTATATATTCAGAGTGGAAACCTGAGAGATCCTACAGTTGAGGTCAAAGAAGAGATAAAAGCGGATGATGATGAGGATGGGGTGATGGAGGAGTCAGAGATTCCAGAAGGACACAAAGATCTGTACCAGGACACCATGGTGGAATCATCCAGCTACAGAAACCCACCAGAGAGATGTCCCCGTCCTCTGTATTCCCGGGATTCCACACAGGTAGGTCACACCATCCCTCACCATCAGGTAGATGTGTATAAATCATAACTATTAGTGATTGTTCCTCAAGGGTGTTTGTTACATTGAATTTCTTTTTGAATGCTCAGAGTGGAATCCTTGGGGATGATAATATTGATGTTAAAGAAGAGTATAAAGAGGAGGATGAGGAGTATGGAGTGATGGAGGAGTTTTCAGAAGGACACAAAGATATGATGGAGCCACCTAATACCAGGAACCCCCCAGAGAGATGTCCCCGTCCTCTGTATTCCCGGGATTCCACACAGGAAGGTCACACAATTCCTCACCATCATCAGGTAGATGATTGACAATTATTGATAGTTATGATTTATACACGTTTGTTACAATGAATGTTTTATTATATATTCAGAGTGGAATCCTCAGGGATGATAATATTGATGTTAAAGAAGAGATAAAAGAGGAGGATGGGGAGTATGGAGTGATGAAGCAGCTTTCTGAAGAGCACAAGGATCTCTATGAGGACATCATGATGAAGCCATCAAGCCCACCAGAGAGATGTCCTCTGTATTCTCGGGATTCCACATTGGAAGACCACAACTATGCACACAATTACAAGGTTCGTTTGATGGAGGATCTAGGCCATGAAAGGGACTCAGCCATGCCAGACAATGTGTGGATCCTACAAGATGACGTTCTCTCTGTGGTCTTGCATTAATCAAGTGGCTGTAAACTCAAATTTCCCAAAACACAATGTATTTGCCTAGTTCAGTAGATGTTGTTATAACCTAAATCACATTGTGTGAACCTCTCAATAATGCCTCCTCAATCAGTTGTAGCCCATGTTGAGCTGAGTCCTTTGTTTTTCATGTCCCTCTCAGTCTGTGGCATGCTGTCACATGTTGTGTGGCTATTTCCACCATTGGCTTCTCTTCTCCCAGTTGAATTTGGAGTTTCCTCCTCTCTTCTATAGAAGTGAAGTCCGAAATGGAGGGGAGTGTCTCTGGAAGTGAGTGTCCCTCACTGATGAGTACTTGGGGCACTGTAGCAGGAAATGGTCCTCATCCCCCCAGGTCACCCTGGTCACATTGTAGCAGGAAGTGGTCCTCGTCCTCAAGGTCACCCTGGTCACATTGTAGCAGGAAGTGTTCCTCGTCCTCCAGGACCCCCTGGTCACACTGCATCAGGAAGTGGTCTTCATCCTCCAGAACCCCCTGGTCACATTGTAGCAGGAAGTGGTCCTCGTCCTCCAGGACCCCCTGTCACATTGTAGCAGGAAGTGTTCCTCATCCTCCAGGACCCTCTGGTCACACTGCAGCAGGGAGTGGTCCTCATCCTCCAGGTCACCCTGGTCACATTGCAGCAGGAAGTGGTCCTCATCCTCCAGAACCCCCTGGTCACATTATAGCAGAAAGTGGTCCTCGTCCTCCAGGACCCCCTATTTACATTGAAGCAGGAAGTGGTCCTCATCCTCCAGGACCCCCTGTGACATTGCTGGCACAGTCTACTCTCCCTGGGCTTGTAGGTCTGTCTGTGCCGTCCTGATTGGAGTTTCAGGCTGTGGGCGCTCTGTACCGGCTCAGGGTCTGTCTATCTTTGGGGCCGGTTTGTAGTCTCTCTGTAGTGACTGGTAAACCGTTTCTTGGAGTTGGAGATTTCATTTCTCCATTCCTCAACATATTTTTTGGGGAATCCTTCATTATGTTTTTTATTTGAGATTTTGTCAGGCCGCTTGTGCGTTTTGGGATGGACAAGGCGCTGAGTTGTTGCAGGCCACATGGCTGTCCTTATTGGTCAGTAAGGCCTTATGGTGGTACGAGTTAGGACTGCTGTTTTGTAGATGGCCCCAGTATGATAGCGCCCTCTTCTGGACTGCAAGAAGCATAGGAACTCTGCCCAACTCAGACTGGCAAGCACTGTTGGAGGTGCTCCGGTGGAATTGGAGGAGGTGCTTGCAGAATTCCAGATGGAATATTTCTGACGGGTGAAGTCCCATTTGGGTTGGTCTGGGTAGGTGACGGGACCCCAAACTTCACTGCCATAAAGAAGGATTGGGGTGATGACGCTATAAAAGGTTCTAAGCCAGACACTTACTGGAGGTTGTAGGTGGTACAGCAGTCTCCTGATGGCATAGGAGGTTCTCATGCCTTGTCTTTCAGGGACTCTATGGCTGGCTGGAAACTTTCTCCCCCCCCCCCCCCCCCCCCCTCCTCCTCTCTCTCTCTCTCTCCCCTCCCTCCCCCCCCTCTCTCTCCCCTCTCTCCCCCCATCTCCCCCCCCCCTCTCCCCCCCTCCCCCCCCCTCTCCCCTCCCCCTCTCTCCCCCCCTCTCCTCCCCCCCTCTCTCCCCCCCCTCTCCTCTCTCCCCCCCCATCTCCTGTCCCCCCCTCTCTCTCTCTCCCTCTCTCTCCCCCCTCCCTTTTTTCTCCCCCCCCTCCCCGTCTTCCCCCCCCCCCTCTCTCTCCCTCTCCTCCCCCTTCTCTCCCTCTCCTCCCCCCCCCCCCTCTCTCTCTCTCAGCAGCAGCATACATGCCTCCTTCTTACTTCCTCCTGTATATATCTCATTATACAGGCTGTCAATCAAGGGGCGTGGCGTCACCTTTTTAACTTTTTTTTTTTTCAATATTGCAGAGAGGATTGCTGATGGAAGGCTGTTTTTCTTCTACCCAGCCACACTACACACAAATGGCTTGTGCTCTTTTTGCAGGTTTACAACCACTTTCACTCTTATATTTTCTTGATGTAGAGTGGAGATCCAATCGATATAGAATTTGAGGTGAAATCAGAAGAAGAAGAGGCGTATGTGAGGGATGATCAGCAGTCTATGGAGGAGGATGGAATAACGGGGACATTTATAGAGGAGGACACTCCTACAGAGATCAGCACAGGTGGGTCATGAACACGAAATCCATTCCTCCACCCATACTGCTCACTGATTGGTGCAGAGTAGGGCGGGGACTGGGTGATATCAGCCTGTAATACCCTGGTCACTTTCCTGCGCTGTGTTCCCCTTCCTGTATTTCTTCTCTGTGTGCTGGCACAATTTATGTCTCTAGACTGGATTTATGGAGGTTCTGGGGTTCAGCTGGAAGAAAAATGTGGATTTTCACCATAGACATTGCTCTAACTAGACACCTGGGGCATGTACCTTGAGCTCCATATCTGGTTGTGACAAGAACTCTGATGGAGCAATTCTCCCGGGATTACTTGCTCTGTTTTTTGGGGGGGATCAGCTGGCATCAAAATGTGGATTTTCACCATAGGTGTTGGTCAAACTGGACATCTGTGTCCCGGGTCTCCTGCCCAATGCCTGGGTCTAGCAAGATCTGACAGAGCAATTCTCCCGGCGTTACTTTCTTGGTTGTTCTTACTCAGTTGTCCTCTGGCCTCAGTCAGTCTCTAGCCCCAACTTCCAGCAGTGCTTCCGCCTCTCACACTGGCTACCCAAGGGCTGGCCTTGCTGAAAATTACACCAGGCGTTACTGCACCCGCCTCCCCCCTCCTCTCCGGCCTGCTGGCTTTGAAACTGCACCAAAATGTACACTCTGTATATTTACGGAGGGTTGGCAACCCTGCCCTGTGTGCCCGCAGGAGAGGAGGGAAGCTGGAAGTGCTGCGGGGAAAGAGGGACACACGAGGGGGGCACAGAGATCACTCCCCCTACAGTGCAGCTGGAGGGAGTAAAAGGAGGAGAAGCCGCCAGCACTGCAGAGGGGTGCCTACAAGAGTCAGCAATAAGGCAGTATTGCATGCCCTCCTACTCGGCAGTTACCCGGACCCGGTACAGGAGGGCCAGCTGTACTGCTGTATCAGCAGCTCTGGTAGAAATCATTGTTTTTTCAGCAGGAAAGGCTCCCCGCCGCCAGAACCCAATAGCACTTTGGAAGGGATTCCCCCATCGACAGTGACTGTTTTGCAAGAAAGGAAATTGCATCAATCTTCACTTGCTTAATGCACATGGGGTGACTAGGGTGCTCCCAGGCACGTCCGGCACATGGGGTGACTGGGGTACGCCCAGGCACGTCTGACACATGGGGCTACTAGGGTGTGCCCAGGCATGTCCGGCACATGGGGCTACTAGGGTGTGCCCAGGCACGTCCGGCACATGGGGTGACTGGGGTATGCCCTGGCACATGGGGCAACTAGGGTGTGCCCAGGCACATGGGGCGACTAGGGTGCGCCCAGGCACATGGGGCGACTAGGGTGTGCCCAGGCACGTCCGGCACATGGGGGGACTAGGTTGTTCCCAGGCACGTCCGGCACATGGGGGGACTAGGTTGCGCCCAGGCACGGCCGGCACACCATGTGCGTATGCTCACGCTGGAATTGTAAGCTCCTCAGTGACCAAGCTGCCTGATGTGGGCGGAGTCCTGGTTTTGGGGAACCAATCTGGTCCTGTCTAGTAATCCTCTTTGTCTTTGTATTTTAGTCCATGGCCGGGAGATGAAGAAAACCTCCGAGGATTGTCTCACTTTGTCTCCAGACTGGAAAGTAGACGATGAGGACACCACACCGAATTCCGAAATCCCCACACCACTTGTATATCTATGTTGTGCCCCACAGTGTAGATGGGCCAACAGCTTCCTCGTATCCTGAGGAACCTCAGACTGTGCAGGACCAGGCCTGCCTTCCAAGAGGGAAGAGGTTCTCCTGTACTGAGTGCGGGAAACGTTTTTCAGATAAGCACTATTTTTATAAACATCAGAAATTGCACGCATGTGGGAATCCCTATTTGTGCCCCGTGTGTGGGAAAATCTTTTCAAGTAATTCCTATCTTTCCATACATCAGAGATCTCACACGGGGGAAAAGCCGTATTGTTGCTCTCTGTGCGGGAAATGTTTTTCACACAAGTCCAGTCTGAACAGCCACCAAAGGACTCACACGGGCGAAAAGCCATATTCCTGCCCTGAGTGCGGGAAATGTTTTTCACACAAGCCCAGTTTTATTAGCCACCAACTGTCTCACACGGGTGACAAGCCGTATTCCTGCCCTAAGTGCGAGAAATGTTTTTCAAAGAAGTCCTTTCTTACCACACATCAGAGAACTCACACGGGGGATTTATGTCTTCAAGATGAGAATGGTCAATCACAGAAGTCCTCTGCTTACAGTCATCTGAGATTGGATACGGAGGAGAATGAACTTTCCTGGTCTGACTGAGGGAAATGTTCCTCACTGAAGACCTGAGTGCGGGAAATGTTTTTCAGAGAAGTCGAGTATTTCCAAACATCAGAGATTTCACACGGGGGGAGAAGCCACATCCCTGAGTGAGGGAAATGTTCGTCACTGAAGTCCTGTCTTCCTGCACATCAGGGGTCCCACACAACCTTGGAGGTGTGTTAGTGCATGAGTACGGGAAATGTCTTCTAGATGAATGTTGCTGGACATCCCAGCTCTCATGTGGGGAAGCAGCACACCCTGATATACACCTCAGATATACTCCATGGCTGATCTTCATCATGGAAGAAACTGTTCATTAGGAGGTCAGAGGTCACCAAAGACGTGGATGAAGTGTGGGAACGGGTTGGCCATTGATAGCAGGAGAATAAAAATGTTGTCCTCACCTGTCATTGGCTGAGTAAATTTTGTGGTGGAAGATAATATCATATTATGACCACTAGAGGAAGCCGAGCGTGAGATCCTAATAAAGAATAATCTGAAGAGACAAGCGAGCGCTTATAACAAAATAAAGCTGCTAAACACCAAAATTTACCATATAAAACCTCCAAATAAATAGTAAAAGCAGGGTGTAGCGCTAAAAGACAATAAACGGTACTTATATCAAATGATGGAATAATAAAAAATCAAGTGACTGAATGGTGCAAGAACCGTGTCAATGGTGGATGCATGTCTACATCATAAAAAAAACGCATGAAACCAGCTTATATAAATAAATTGAAATAAAGTGCAGCATAAAGTGATAATCTTGTCACTGTTTAGTGACTAATCAAGTGCAAAGTGACAGACTAGAAAATCAAGCAATAGTCCACAATAAAAAGTGCACAGGAGATCCAGATGATCTTCAAAGTCCAGTGGTCTGGTGCTATGGTGATTAAAGTAATAAGATTGCGCACTCACCAGATACGCAATCAAAATGCGCATTAGGAAATATCAATTCCAGAGGACTGAAGATCCCTGAATAGTCTGGTGTTGGTCAGGTGCCTCTCACTGCCTGGTATCCACTGCCATATGTGATGCAACCGCTCCTGTGGATATTAGTAGCTCACAAGGAGCTCCAAAAAAGGAGGCCAAATAGTGTGATACCTTCTAAACAGGCGATGTTTATTCAAATATTGGGCAAACAGAGTATAAGCAAACCAAAAAACACTGACCATCTGAAGATGGCCGCCGGGGCTCTCTTGGCGCCAGCGGCGTGACGTCACAACTCCGGGAGCTACGGAGTTGTGACGTCACGCCGCCGGTGCCAAGAGAGCCCCGGATTGCAAAAATACACTGCAATTGCAGTGAATGCCCAATAGATGGCTCCCTACTCCACACAATGATGATGTACAGAACACTCTCTGCCTGGTAAATACATGGGCTCAAAAAAAACTGAAAGGAAGACTCTGTAATCAGAGTCTAGCATCAAGTCGATGAACCTCCTGGGATATTGATCTGGTCAGGCAAGTCGCAGAGGGGGTTGTTAATCAGTTTCAGTTGCTTTGGTGATAATGAAATTAAAAACAGGTGCACTAGATGGGCAACAATGAGACGACCCCCAACACAGGAATGGTTTTACAGGTGGAGGCCACTGACTTTTTTCCCTCCTCATCTTTTCTGACTGTTTTTCACTCGTTTTGCATCTGGCTAGGGTCAGTGTCACTACTGGTAGCATGAGGCCATACCTGGACCCTACAGAGGTTGCACAGGCAGTCCAACTCCTCCAGGATGGCACATCAATACGTGCCATTGCCAGAAGGTTTGCTGTGTCTCCCAGCACAGTCTCAAGAGTATGGAGAAAATTCCAGGAGACAAGCATGGAGGAGATTCCAGGAGACAGTCAGTTCCTCTAGGAGAGCTGGACAGGGCTGTAGAAGGTCCTTAACCCATCAGCAGGACCGGTATCTGTTCCTTTTTGCAAGGAGGAACAGGATGAGCCCTGCCAGAGCCCTACAAAATGACCTCCAGCAGGCCACTGGTGTGAATGTCTCTGAGCAAACAATCAGAAACAGACTTCATGAGGGTGGCCTGAGGGCCCGACATCCTCCAGTGGGCCCTGTGCTCACTCCCCGGCACCATAGAGCTGGATTGGCATTTGCCATTGAACCCCAGAATTGGCAGGTCCACCACTGGCGCCCTATGCTTTTCACAGATGAGAGCAGGTTCCCCCTGAGCACATGTGACAGACGTGAAAGGGTCTGGAGAAGCCGTGGAGAAAGTTCTGCTGCCTGTAACATGGTTCAGCATGACCATTTTGGGGGTGGGTCAGTGATGGTCTGGGGAGGCATATCCATGGAGGGACGCACAGACCTCTACAGGCTAGAAAATGGCACTCTGACTGCAATTAGGTAGGGGGATGAAATCTGTGGACCCAATGTCAGACCCTACTCTGGTGCATTGGGTCCTGGGTTCCTCCTGGTGCAGTGGGTCCTGGGTTCCTCCTGGTGCGGTGGGTCCTGGGTTCCACCTGGTGCAGGGGGTCCTGGGTTCCTCCTGGTACAGTGGGTCATGGGTTCCTCCTGGTACAGTGGGTCATGGGTTCCTCCTGGTGCAGGACAATGCCTGGCCTCATGTGGCAAGAGTATGCAGGCAGTTCCTGGAGGATGAAGGAATTGATACCATTGAATGGCCCCCACGCTCACCTGACCTAAATCCAATAGAACCCCTCTGGGATGTCATGTTTCGGTCCATCTGACGCCACCAGGTTGCACCACAGACTGTCCAGGAGCTCAGTAAAGCCCCAGTCCAGATCTGGGAGGAAATCCCTCAGGACACCATCTGTGGTTTCATTAGTACCCTCCCCCGACGTTGTTAGGCATCCATACAAGCACTTGGGGGCCATACAAACTACTGAGGACCTTTCTGAGTTGCTGCAATGACATTTCAGCCACATGGACTCTCCTGCTGCATCATTTCTTCACTTTGATTTTCAGGGTGTCTTTGAATTCAGTCCTCTGTAGGTCGATCACTTTCATTTCCATCAAACGATGGGGCGTCCTTACATTCCTCACCCATCTCCCGTCCATGTCAGTATAGAGATCCAGCAGGAGATTCCTTCCCATTGAGATCTGATGGGTTTTCAAAGTCTTCCTTTCATTTTTTTTTAGTCGTGTATATATCACTACTGCATATGTTTGAATTATTGTAACATTTACTGTAGCAATTTATTCTGGAAAAGAACAGCCAAATCTGAGACAGGTCGGAGGTATACTCTAGCAATCCCCTGGTTAATGATTTTACCATCAGCACTGGGAATGGTTGTCATAATGAGACCCATTGGCCATACATTTTCGTGAGGGTCTTTCAACAAAACAAGGTCTCCTACTTGAACCTTTGGTTTCTCCCCCCCATCTACTTTCTTCTTGTTTGGAGGGATGACAAATATTCTTGCTTCCAGTGTTTCCAAAGGTATCAGCAAGGTTCTGAACCCGCTTCCACTGGCACTTGTAAAGATCTAATAAAGTGAACTCACCAGGTGGTCCTAATACTACACAAGCCTTCTGAGTCAAGAGCATTGCTGGTGTAAGAACTTCAGGTCAGAACTTGGTTCAAGAAGATCAAATACCTTGACTTTTGATCGATCGCTTGTATCTACATGACATACAAAATCTGGGCCTGAGAACCAGTTGGTATGTTTCAGGTGAGCTGCTTGAATTACTCTGGTACCGGGGTCTGCTGGGTTCTGACTAGTGACAACATAATGCCACTGGGTTTTCTAATGCGGATTATCCGGTTTAAGACACACACATCAAATCTTCTGGAGGCGTTGTGAATAAAGTCTAACACAAATTGCTGTCAGTGTAATATTTACCTGTGTTTGGTTCAAAGTCTGGTTCTTCCAAGAATCAGCTCTGCTAGCTCAACGGACAAAATGTCTGCATGTATCTCCAAGGGTGGCATTGGGTGAGCTGGTCCTGGAGGTCATTTAGATTTGCCCATATTAAAACCTACATGACATTGACCATCACCATCTATGACCTTGAATGACCATTGACATTGACCATCACCGTATGCGACCTTGAATGACCATTGATATTGACCATCACTGTCTGTGACCTTGAATGGCCATTGACATTGACCATCACTGTCTATGACCTTGAATGACCACTGACATTGACCATCACTTTCTATGAACTTGAATGACCATTGACATTGATCATCACTGTCTATGACCTTGAATGACCACTGACATTGACCATCACTTTCTATGACCTTGAATGACCATTGACCATCACTGTCTGTGACCTTGAATGACCATTGACATTGACCATCACTGTCTATGACCTTGAATGACCACTGACATTGACCATCACTTTCTATGACCTTGAATGACCATTGACATTGATCATCACTGTCTATGACTATAGCTGCTATCGCCACATTAGAAGCATCAGAAAAGACACGTACCTCTCCTCGCACTGTTGGGATCTGGGAAGACAGATCTTTAGGATGATTCAAGTCTTCTGTCTATGTTCTCCACTGAGTTTCTGTATCTGGCGAGGGTGGGGAATCCTGGTCACATTGATCTATTGAGACCTCTCTAAGGCTTTGCCTTGCATAGTGATCGGGGCTGCAAACCCGAGTGGATCATAAAGATTGTTTGCTGGGGCTAGGATACCTCTCAGTGTGTATGGCTTCACCTCTCCAGACACTTGAAAGGTAAAACTGTTGGTCTGGAGATTCCAAACTTACTCCTAAACTCCATTGAAGGGGCAAAGGATGGACACCTAGAAGAAGGCCTTCTAATACTTTTGTCCTGTCATCTGCAGGAAACGCTTCCATTACTGATCTCCTATTGGATGCCACCTTGTATAGCTTGAGATTCGGTCCTGCAAGCATCTCCCTAGCTCTCTGCTCTACTGAATGCTTCGGCTTCAGTAGGCACAGAGGTAAGTCTGTCA